CTTACCCTTCCCCTCCTCCTTCTCTGCCTTTTTGGTGTTCCTGAATGTAACACTCAGGTACACCTCTCCCCCTGGTGTGTCCCTGGACACTACGCTTGCCCGTAGCTGGGAACACCTGTTCACTTCCTTTTCTTTCCTCCTCTTCCTCTTTTCCCTCTTTCTCTCCGTCTCTGTCTCTTTCTCTCTTCCTCTCTTCTCTTTCTCTTTCCTTTCTTCCCCTTCCTGGCTGTCCCTGGATGCTTTCGTCATGGCTGGGGACCCTCTTTTGGTGTGTCCTTGGACGCTTGCGTCGTAGCTGGGAACACCTTCTTTTCCTTTCCATTCTTCTTTTTCTTTCCTCTCTTCTCTCCCTACCCCTCCCTCCCTCGCGCGCGATGCGCTCACACACAAAAGAGGTGTTGCAACAGGTTTTCAATGAGGTTTGGCTTCATTGGTTCTCGTCCCCTCCATTTGGTCCCCTTTTCATCCTTCTCCTTCACACACATTTGTTCTCCTCTTTTCTTTCATGTCCTCCTGTCTTCATGTCGTGGCACAACATTCCTTCTTTCTTTTGCGCACACATCGGTCCTGGCCTTAGTGTGTACGCGCGCATCTTCACATACTTCTAACCCAGGCTTCAGGTCGCCCAGGTTGGCTAATGAGGTGGGGTTCATTGTTTGTCTCTGCGCACTTGGTTCTTTTTCATCGCAGCCACGTACACTTTTGTGCTGTCTTGTCCTCTTTTCATGTCTTCATCCTTTTGTCCGTGCGGCGCGCACACGTGCACTCTCACCTTAACCTTGGTTCTTCGCCTCCCCTTGGAGTCACAGGGATCCTGTCGGATTGGTTTTTTTGCAGCATGGGGCAGCAGGGAGTCCACAGTTCTGCTGCCAACGAAGACAGCAGTGGATACTCCGTAAGGCAGATTGGGGTGCCAATCTGTGTACCTGCTATTGAAAACCTAAGTATGGCAAAAGCTGTCCAATACGTTGTTTCAGATTTGATCGCCGTACACTGATTTACCCTGGTCTTCTTAGGTTTTTCACTTAGGCTGGCGTGTGGCAACCGCTTTCCAACCAGTACGCATTCCCATAAGTGTGTGAGACCCTTGGAGTCACAGGGAATCCTTTGATTTGGATGCTCCAACTTCCTTTTTTGGAGCAGGGGGATGAAGAGGACGTATGAGGCTCCATCCAACGAAACTCCTCATACGATCCTAGGATATCTTCAGGGACACCTGATGACGTACCTGCTTTGTGATGACTTCTCATTCACCACTGGGCCCTGTTCTAACTACCACAAGCTTGCCAGCAGTCACGCGTTTGCCACCTTTGAGCTGTACGAGTTTCAGGTTTTGGAGGCTTTGGAGGTTTTGAGACGGCACACCGCTTTACTTAATACCTGCTCTACCCAGGCAATTTTTTTCACTTAGGCTTCTTCAGGGGCTTGCAACGATCAGTTTCCGTACGTATTATCTCGAGTGTGTGTGTGTGTTAACCCCTGTTTCGAAGGGAACTAACCATCTATTTCTCGTGTACTCTATTTCGCTGAGTTGCACCTTGTACAGCAGCAGCAGGGGGGTAGTGCACGACTGACAGACACTACCCAACGAAGACACTGTCAGCTCGTGGTGAAGCAATGTGGGACGCCACATTGTGTACCTGCATCAATTTTTAAATTATGCTCCATGTTTCACCTATGTTCAAACATTCTGTTTTTCTGACCCTTCACTTTCTTTCCGTTGAATCAAGTCAAGTGCTAAGTATTCACTTAAAGGGCTAATGCTCACCGCGAATACTGAAGACAAGCTCCGCGGAGCAACCTTCTCAAGTGTGTTTCGCAGCTTCTTCCCACTGTGGTAAGCTGTGTGAACCCTACGGGGCGCCGTTACCGAGAGAACCTTCTCACTCCTCACCGTGGGAGTAATTTCTCTGATTTTCACCTCGTACACGTGAATTTCACTGCAGAGTTCACTGAAATACTTACTGAATTTCACTGCAGAGTTCCACTGAATCATGTTTCACCCGAGAGATGTCTTTACCAATTTTCCAGTTCCAGTTTCAATTTGTTGACAAAGCGCCGATTCGGCTTCTCGGACAGTGCCTACGGGAAACTGCCGTTCGCTCGCAAGAGCATCCATGGACCTTGAGTCCGTTTACCCTACCCTGCACCCCCTGCACCTTTGCTTGTCTTTCCTTGCCTTTTCGTTTGTCTTGTTCCTTCCTTCCGGCTTTTTAGGTGTGATCCAGGCTCGTTTAGTCAACGCACGCCCTGCCCCCCCGCACCCCCTGCACCTTTCTCTTCTTTCCTTGCCATTTCGTTTGTCTTGTTCTTTTCTTCAGGCTGGTTAGGTGGCAACCAGGCTCGTTAGTCAATGCACGCCCGAACACCCCTTCACCCCCTGGCGGAGAAAAATAAAAGGGAAAAAAAAAGAAAATGAACAGAAAAAAGACAAGGACCAATGACTGAATCAGCAAAACGAAGCGGTCAAGCACAGTTAGCGCTGCAGCATTGCAGCCATTCAAAAAAGACAGTTTGCGTTGAGTTATGCCTTGAATTGTACTATATAGATGCGCCGTCTCGGCTTCTTGTGTGTGTGTTAACCCCTGTTTCGAAGGAAACTAATCATCTATTTCTCGTGTACTCTATTTCGCTGAGTTGCACCTTGTACAGCAGCAGCAGGGGGGTAGTGCACGACTGACAGACACTACCCAACGAAGACACTGTCAGCTCGTGGTGAAGCAATGTGGGATGCCACATTGTGTACCTGCATCAATTTTTAAATTATGCTCCATGTTTCACCTATGTTCAAACATTCTGTTTTTCTGACCCTTCACTTTCTTTCCGTTGAATCAAGTCAAGTGCTAAGTATTCACTTAAAGGGCTAATGCTCACCGCGAATACTGAAGACAAGCTCCGCGGAGCAACCTTCTCAAGTGTGTGGGCGCGCGCGCCTGGGACCAGCATACCACAGTTGGCATGATCTCAACCCAGTGTTGCGAAGCTCACCAATGATTTAGGAACATTGTTCATTTGGTTGCCCACGCAACTGCAGCCTGAGCAAGGTACTTGCCGTGCATCTTAGTTTCTGAGGCTCATGGACCTTGAATTTCGCCAGCTCTATGCTCACTGAGCTCCAGGCTGAGTCTGAGATGACATCAGAGAACCCCCTGCCAAGATATTGCAGGGCTTGGAGGCTCAATACTTTAGACTTGGTGACCTGGTTGTGGTAATTTTATACGTGATCTTGACATGTACTATACAACTTGGTGCGCTTCCTGGTGGACCCTTCCATGCCCATTTTTCGCCCATGTCTCAATGTCTCACCAGATCCACGGTCCGTTCCTTCTGATTCCTAAGATCCCGTTCAAGCCTTCGGGATTTGAAGCGAACAGGGACGACTGGGCCACAGGCTGATCAGGCCGATGTTTACACCATATATTTGGAAGAAAGTCCGAGGTTCAGCCAAAGAAAGGTTTCGACAAGCTAGCCACAGAACTCATGTTCCCGGTCACTCCTTCGGGAGAAAGCTGCCTTGGTTCAGATCATTCAGCCTCGTGACGACCAGACGCACATTGCTTGGTGTGCTATTTTCGCAGGTCGTCCACCTCTAAACCTCCAGCCGTAGCATGGACTCGCGTGCTAGTCGGTTGAATAGCCTCCGAGGCTTGCAGCGACATCAGAGCAAGTCTCGGCGACAGGATCCAGATCACACGTAGTGAAACATGCATTATTTTACAACAGTCTCCTGCATTTGGATGCAGCGGATGCGCATGTTTTGATTTGGCTGAGACTGAAACCGCAATACAACAAACTTCACAAGCGTTGAATACTAGCAGGTTGTTTAGAGAAATTAGGTTCTCAAACAATAGGGAGCAGGCTGCAGAAAGAATGGACAACACGGGAGACAGGTTCTATCCTATCCCAACCGCCCAAAAATCATCCAACATCTACACTCCCTGTAACTAACATGGAAGTGGAGAATGGCCCCTTGGAAGACCATTTTCCACTACAAACAGGTGGTGCCATTTTCCATGTTAGTTCCAGGGAGAGTATATCATGTTGCAGTGTTGTTACATACTTGTCTTTCGTTTACAAGTCCCACCCACCGCGTTTTTTTCTCCAATTGCTCCGTTCAACGCGGCGCCTTGGTCCGTAGCGGCCGAGACGCGGTGCCAACATGAAGGACTCACGCCAAGTCATTGTACCCAGAGCTGTGGCAGAAAACTGTCAAGTGGGAATTGATGGCTAGAGTGGCTAGAGATAAAGGCACGAGCAGAAGAGGTCTTGGAAGTCACCACACTTCCTGCTAGGCAGCAAGGGAACTCGGGGTTTGTCATTCAATGTGGTGTCGGAAGTTGGGTAGCCACACCAAAAGAGCACAGGTTCGTTTTGGAAATCCAACTTTCCCCCCTTTACTTCGCCATGGGATGCTCTTCAGTTGTTGGATACATTCCTCATCTTACAATGTTCCTTTTGATATTTTTTGATGCGTTCCTGATGGCCGTACAATTCTTTCCCTCCCGCGCCAAGTGCTACAACTGGGTTGCTCATCGTGTGAATCAAAATTAGAGAGCTCGCCGATTCAAAAGGAACCGAGTTGCGCGAGTTGTGCTGTTTCAAGCTGCTTCGATTTGTTTGGTGTGGCTTTGGTCAGTGGCAAGTGGTCGATAGTACCTCATCGCGGTGTGATCATCCCTTTCTGCGTGCCTTGATCTACTGAGCTAGTGATAGTCTTTTCCACTGCGACCAGCTGCCAAACGGCTGAAGCAAAATTGCTGAGTGTTGGGCTGGGTGGATATCAACGAAGACCGGCTTCATATTCACTGAGCTTTGCTGGTTGCCAAAGCTGTTCATGTCCCAGAGAACTTTTCTGAGTCTTTGACTTGCTGATGTGTTCAAGGACCCTGAGATGGTTTACAAGTTCATTGATTTATGTACACAATCCACAGACTCAGCCAAGACGCGTTTGTTATCACGCCAATTGCCTTCCCCATAGCAACGCCCTAAGCGTCACTGAGGTGCTCTCCTACCATGTGCCACCACCGGTGGACGCCTCAGGGCTGCGGACCTGTGGGGCGCTCTTGATAGTAGTAATGCCCTTTGCTCCGTTCGTGGCGATGCCAGGAGCCCCGATCGTAGCGTCCTTGCTCCAAGTAGCGATGCACCCTGCTCCTAGTAGCTTCTTGGCAAGTTGGCTAGCTCAGGTTTTTTGAAAGTACTTGAACTATCTTGAATCCTGGCTTTTCCAAGAACTGCTGAACCAGGCAGTCAACAGCACAAGCGTCAAATATCACTTTGTCTTTGATGAGCGACTGAGGTGCCGATCATGCTCGGAGCCTTCAAACTTTTCTCTACTGCAATTTGGGTGCCGGACCCAGATTGGACCATACCGAAATTGGCGGTAGTCTTAGTCGAATTGGTGGGCCGTGTGGGTACGAAAGTTCAGGGTGAAGTTTTTAAGAGTGATGTGAGTAGCCGTTGGTTTGCGTTCATCTTCTTCAGCCCCGTTGACTCGGTTCAGGCTGACAGCGCCCTGTCTCAACCTTGACTCCAAACGATTCCGCACCTTGCATTACATAAGCCCAAGCCAGGCACAGCTGACGGTAGCAATGTCCATGTCAGCATGACAGGTCCACCCGTTGGAAGTTGGAGACTGCAAGCTAGGACCTCGGAGAAAGGCAACAGAAAGCAACACAGACAACCACGTACGTACATCAACTTGTCTTGCCGGTCGGCAACGGCGACATGCAGATTTCTTGTGCACACAAGTCGGCGCTACGAACGGGTTGGCTCATGCATGAACCAAGCGCCTGTGAAGCTCGACATTGTCGTCTAAGGGTCTAACCTGCTTGTGCCGCGCACACTGTCAGTTCCATGCCGCGTTCAAGCAACCTTTCGCTTATCATAATCTTGCAAGCTGGCCACAAGGCAGCTCAAAGACTGATTGTTGCAAATCTTTGTCACACATATCCACACATATCCACACCTATCCCCATCTTTTGCCGCAGTTGCTCAGGGCTCCTCTCTCAAAACTGACACCAAAGTGTTTCACACCACTTCACCTCTCGGATCCTTTCCGAGCATTGGAAGGCTTTCTAAGAGAAAAGCACCCTTTCCTTTTCCACGTCTTTTTTTGGGTCCAGTGCAGGTGCCACCCCTGTTCGGCTTTGCGGGCTTTTTAATCGGCAGCCTCTACTGGTGGCCTAAGCCTCAGGGATGAGATGGGCACATTTTGGAGCTGGCAGCTTTTGGCTGGCGGTTTCTTGTTGAATGAGGGAATTTTATGGAAGTCCTTACTTTTCTTTGCTATGGAAGAATTTCCACCGAGATAATGAGGCTTTTGGTGGACAGGCAGGCACAGCGCAAGGTCGATTCCTCACCGCTTGGGGCCCTTGGGAGCCCCGATCGTAGCGTCCTTGCTCCTAGTAGTATGGCCAGGAGCCCCTAGGGCGCTTGGGGCCTAGGATCGATGACTTCTTGGAGATTCCAGAGGCGAAGCGCTGCCCGCGTCGGCCCCCAGCTGAAGGCAATTGCTATGGCTATGGCAGCCACTATGAGAGCCGCGATGGAGTTAAAATATGTTGAAATAGCATTCATGGCGTCGCATTTGCAGCGAGCATGTTGTCGCGGACATGTTCCGGGTTTGCTCAACTGTCATTGCATGTCGCAGGGTCCCAGGTGGTTGCTCGAAGTTGTTTTGTGATGTTCTCAGTGGATTCAATTCGCACATTGTGCAATTACTTTCTGCACTCGTTTTCGGGGCCTCATCGCGAAGTTCCAAGCTTCGGAATACCATAGTGGCATATGGTGGCCTGCTTCCAGTGACCAGGTCTCTCCTCCAGACATTTGCAGCTGTGACACTTTTTGCCAGAGACTTGTGGGGTTGGACAGGTTGGAGCTCGGCCATTTCTGGAGCAGATGTTGAAGTGTCATGCAAGTTGAGCTCTCATGTGAGAGGAGATGTGCAACAACTTAGTTCGGACGAATCATATTGTCACTGCCCACGCCTTTTTGGTGACGCATGTTAGGCTGGAAACTATGCGGCGAGTGGCTTCCTGTCTTCCAACCACCTGGGAGTAGGCAGGGCATGCAAGACAAACTTTAGAGACACAGATCAGCCATGTTTTGCCTGCGAGCTCGTTTCTTGTGTGGATTCTTTGTGGGGATCTGTGGGGTGAAAGAGAACTATATACTTCAGCATGTTTCCCCGCAGCTTCTTCCACGAATGAAGGAATCGCAAGGATTCAAACCTAGCTCTTCTGCAAGAAATTATGTTGTTCAATTATAATTCCGGCATGAGTTATGCAGGAAGATCACAGCAAGATCTGGTACCAAAGGACTGGCTGAACAATGCACTACCAAAATCTTGCTGGAGGGCTTTGCCATCAACTGAGTGAGAGATGGCATCTACACAATGTTGATTTCCAGCATTTGCGGAACCAAGCAATATTAATATATTTGTCAAGGCCAACTCTGGATCTCAAGAGATCTCAAGACCTTTTTCGGTGTTGCAAGCGACTTGCCATCCTGCGGCATAGAGACCGCCATGGGCTACAGCACAGAGAAAGGTGGAGGCACTGTGGGCACTTGACCTGCCTCGCTTTGGGCGGGAACGTGTTTAATATCTTTGCTGGTTGGCAGAATGTTGAAAGCCTAGTTCTCCCTATGTTCTTGCAATGCTTGCACATGCAGGTCTGTCCAATTGGAATGAACAAGCTGTCCATGCTGTAGGAGAGATGGATTGGCTTTGATTTGTTCACCCGCCAAGTCTGTTGGCCAATAACCTTCTTGCAACATGGTGAATCCCCGTGGATTTGATCAATGTAAAGGAGTTTGATGGGTATCGCAAGACTTCTCAGGCCGCCGGCGCGGCAAAGGCAGCAAGGGTGGCAAAGCTGAAGGTGGTAAGGGCAAGGCCTGGGATGCTGCCCAGAACTCGGGTGCCATTAAGTACACCCTGGAAGATTCTTGACAGTTTTCATTGTGCATGCAGAAGTGAATGTTTGATGAATGACTACTAGCAACAAGAAGCTACTAGGTTGGAGACCATCGCTATTAGGTTGGAGGCCATCGCTACTAGCAACAAGAAACTACTAATAATAAGTGCATCGCTACGATCTTGCTTCCTCCTAGGACTTAACACGTCTTCGGCCGCAGCGGGTTGTTGAAGCCTTTCCACATCTCAGTGTGGCTGCAGATTGGCCAGAGTCACGACCACCACGCTCTGGACGCTTGGTCTGATTTGCCCATGTTTGCCCTCACCAATGACAAGGAAGGCAAATGGATGAAATCGGCTGAAAATAGATGCTAACATGGAAAGAAAGTCGTGTTTGGCTACCCAGCCCCAAATCACAAAGTAAAATTGGGTGATGTGCCTGGTCCCTGCGGAGTACGAGGGTGTCAATGCGGGAAGGGCCCAACAAGTTCTTTGGTTTGTGTTTCAGTCCCGTTCAAGGGGTGTTGTTTCACCATTGTGGTAGTGAGAGGTCACTCTTCCTCAATGGTTCACACATTTTGAATTTGGAAGATGCCCTGATAAAGCCTGTTTCTCATCCAACATGCATCCGGACAGAGTCCTGATTGAATGATATTGGCCAAGCTGGTGTTGTCAGACCCTGGCCATCCTGCCATGCCATGTCCAAAACCAAAGGGAAGGCCTCTTCAGGCACCATCCGCAGGCCTCGTTCCTGTCATGTTTGAGGCTCGGCGTTTTATTTGCCCTTGATTTGGAGCCTTTGCCGCATGAAGCTTCGTTTTGCGACCCAGCGTCCAGCGTCAAAAGGAGTTTGGCGCTTGGGCACTTGCATACACTATTTGATATGATATGATCATATTGCAACGGCACAGAACAGCACGATTTTAAGTTCTTGACAGTGTATGTATGCCATGCTTCGGGGCACCTCATCAAGCTAAAGGAGGCCCTCGATGATGGCTTTCTGGCTTTGAGTTGCTTCCTTTCATTTGACAAATCAGGAGTGCGCTGCTGCCATCCGAAAGCGGCGATGGTGATCCAACATCAGATTTAGCAGTCCAGCAGCTGAACAGTCTCGGGGATGAGAAGCCTAGCTCATATTATCCAAAGTCACCAGGTTGATCAGAAACTGCAAGCATGAACCTAATAGCGATGCCCTCCAAACTATTAGCGATGGCCTCCAACCTAGTAGCATTGGAAGCCTCGTTCATGAAAGCGAATTACCGTTTTTGACTAAGGAAGCATTTCTCATCCAGACGTCGAGCAGGTCTTTTGGACGTGTGGCAGGCGAATTCTCAGAAGAGTCGCGTAAGGTCATATCAGATTGGAACGGGAAGAGGAAATAATACAACCACAACTTCTTCCACGTTACCTGGTGTTTGTGCATGCGTGTTGGGTTGAGTTGGAAGTTGTAGCCATGGGGCTAGGCCAAGCAGATTGACTGGTGCGACTTCAGTGTTTGAACTGTAAACATCAAGATTGCTTGGCACTGTCGCATAAACGAGCACCAGACATCTTAAAAGGTCACGATGCTTCAGATACCTGTTGTAAACACTTGCAGGGGTCAGATTGCACAGAGACACACAGAACATAAACAAGAGCAAGCCGGAGCAACCCGAGGGAGGCACGATGAGTCGATGAGTTCACAGGTTTGACTCGATGAAACGAAAGTGTGATAATCGGGAGCATCAGGAACAGGAGAGAAATGAGTTGGAGCAGGAAGATTGGCATGGT